GGGGCTGGGGATGTGGCTCAAGCGTTAGCGCGCTCGCCTGGCATATGTGTGGCCTGGGTTCAATCCTCAGTACCACATACAAACAAAGATGTTGTGTCCGCTGAAAATTAGATTATTTTTGCATTAATTTGTCTACCAAGTTGAATTTTTCTGGATCATGCTTTTTGTAATTTTCATGTTACCTTCAACATATGGTTCTTTTGATTACAGATGAGAATGAATACACTTGCTGTGTTATTCATTTCTGAATATTTAAATTTAATAATAAAGATATTGAAATTAAGAAAAAGCAGCAAAACATATTCATTGTAGAAATGTGGAAAATACAGAAGATAACTAAAAGGAAAAAATTATTCATAATACTAATTATATACATTTTGACTTGTAATACATTATTTCATGATTCTGTCAAGTGTTATTCTAGTCAAGGGTTTGATGCCTGGCTTCATCTGTTCAAAAAGTCATAGTGATAGGAACTAGTTAAAGAAGATACTACCTAAGAAACCAAAGAATTTCCTTTAATAGGTGCTGTAATAAAAATTATCAAATATTTCTAAGTGGCTATATATTTAAGACAGAACAAAAGAATAAGGCAAAAAGATTCTAGAAAAATCACCTTGAAAGAAATCCTCAACTCTAGCTTAAACTGGCTAACTGTAATAACTAATTTTTATCATTCTACTGTATTACAACTCCTCTCATCCTCCCCTCCCTGTTTTGGTGTTATTAGGGATTGAACCTAGGTATATACTCTACCACTGACCTACATTCCCAGCCTTTTTAATTTTTTTTTTTTTTTTGAAATAGGGTCTTGCTAAAGTTGACAAGGGTAGCCTCAAACTTGTGATCCTCCTGCCTCAGTCTCCTGAGTTGCTGGGAAGTAGTTACACCTTTGTGTAACCCTCTTTCCTTGAGTGTGGGCAGCACCTAGAACCCACTCCTAACATACAGAATATGGTAAAGTTGATGGACTGTTATCTTTATACCATTATATAAGACTTGTCTTGCTGGCCAATTCACTCTATATTCTTCTTGTAAGTCTGATAAAGTAATTGGTTCCAGATTATAGTCATCAAGAAGCTGGGGCTCTCAATTATACACACAAAGAAATGAATTCTGCCAACAACCCCAGTGAGCTTGGAAGTAGATTCTCCTTCAGGCAAGTCTTCAGATGAAAACACAGACCAATTCCAGTATCATGATTGCAGGCTTGTTGAGTTCCTATGCAGAACTAGCTAAGCTGTGCCCAAACTACTCCTGACTCATAAAACCATGAGGTAATAAAATATGTGTTGTTTAGACAGCTAAATTTGTGCAATTTTTACAAAGCATGGAAAGTTAACATAGCTTTAATTGCTTTCATTAGGAAGTCTAAAATCAGTTACCTAAATTTCTACTTTAAGAAGCTAGAAAAGAGCAAAGTAAACCCAAATCAGAAGAAAAAAGATCACAATTCGTCAAAAGCAAAAGTATTTTTTTTTTAAACAAAAACAACAAACCAATAAAATTATACACCCTGTAGTAGGCTGCATAACAGCTTCCCAAAAGATACCCATGCTCTAATCCCTGGAACCATGAACTCTATCTTCAAAGAAAGGAGGTCTTTTTTTGGGTACCAGATATTGAACCCAAGAGCGCTTAACCACTTAGACACATCCCCAGACTTTTTATATTTTTATTTTGAGACAGGGTCTCACTAAGTTGCTCACAGCCTCAATAACTTGCTGAGGCTGGCTTCAAACTTGTAATTTCCCTGCCTCAGCCTCACAAGTCGCTCAGATTAGAGGTATATGCCACAGCACCTAGCAAAAGGGGAGGTCTTTGCACCTGTGATTGCTCAAGAGTCTTGAGGAGCTGGGGTTGTGGTCAGTGGTAGAGCACTTGCTTGGCATGTGTCAGGCTTTGGGTTCGATCCTTAGCACCACATAAAAAAAAATAAATAAAGGTATTGTGTCTATCTACAAATAAAACAAATTTTTAAAAAAACTAATCTTGAGATGGGGGGATTACTCTGGTAGGTTCTAAATGCAACCAAATATATCTTTAGAAGAGGCAAGTAGAGAGAGATCTGAAGATGTTAGCCTTGAACATTAGAATGAGGAGGCAGGCCACAAACCAAGGAATGCTGGCAGCTCTAGAAGCAGAACTTTGAGCAGGAACAGATTCTCTTCTAGAGCCTCCAGAGGGAGTGCAGCCCTATCCAGCACCTTGATTTCAGACCAGTAAAACTGACTGGTCTTCTGGCCTCCAGAACTGTAAGAGAATATATTTCTGTTATTTTAAGCCATCAAGCATGTGATAATTTGATAAAGCAGCCACAGGAAGTGAATATAATACCCGAGCTAATCAAGAAGATAAGAGCTGCCAGGCGCTGTGGCACACACCTATAATCCTAGTGGCTCGGGAGGCTGAGGCAGGAAAATCCCGAGTTCAAAGCCAGCCTCAGCAATGGCGAGGCGAGGCGAGGTGCGGCGCTAAGCAACCCAATGAGACTCTGTTTCTAAATAAAATACAAAATAGGGCTGGGGATGTGGCTCAGTGGTCAAGTGCCCTGAGTTCAATCCTCGGTACCAAAAGAAAAAAAAAAAAAGATAAGAGCAGCCAGGTGCATAGTGGTGCATATTGTAATCCCAGAGACTTAGCAGGTTAAGACCCTATTTTAAAATAAAAATAAAAAGAGCTAGGGATAGGAATGTTGCTCAGTAGTAGAGCATCCCTATATTCTATCTCCAACACACACACACACACACACACACACACACACAAACACACACAAAGCCATGCACCTAGTTAATTCAAGTTGGTTTAGAATGCAGGGTAAGTTTCCTAGAGATTTTAATTAACTCAAAGTGAAATATCACATGAAGGTAAAACCAGGAGTTTGTTTTTCTTGGGGAAAAATTCTAGTAACACTTGATCTTCATTCTCACATAATAACTGCAGCTCAGAGTAAAAATCACCCAAGGCTGGACATATATTTTGCAGTTTCCCACAGGTACCACCACCTCCTGTGGCATCTCATCTAGCCTTTCCACTCACTGGCATTACTTATTTGATTTGTGTAAGAGCTTCCAGGCGCTGTGGCACACAACTGTAATCCTTGTGTGTGTGTGTGTGTGTGTGTGTGTATGTGTCACTCATGCACTAAATGAACACTTCCTTAATATTTAAATAATGCACAGTAAGAGTCACAAAAGACACAGTACCATCACCCAAGGTAATACACACTTTTGTCATGCAAAATAAAAAATACTGTACATATAAAAATGCTTCTCAATAATAGAGGTACACCTGTGAATTTGTCAGGATCCATTAAAGGAGTTCTCTTTGCTCTCTCTTTAGACTTAATGATGTTCTACAGAACTTTAGGGGTGATGGCAATGTTCTTTATGTTTGCACTGTCCAATATAATAGTCTTCAGCCACATGTAGCTACAGAGTATTTGAAATGGATTGGTGAAACTAAGGAACTAAGTTTTTAGTTAGGAAAATCATTCCAACTATTCCTTTCCTGCTTCTCTGAATTTTCCTTCTCAAATATTAGTTTCTCTAGGAGTCTGTCACTTTTCCCTAACCTTGGATGATTTTATCCTGTAACATGGATTCAGTTAAACCTATATAATCACTACTAATTCTGTCATCTCTAGTTCTGGAACCATATTTGCAAATTTGTATTTCTTCCATATACATGTCTGAAAATAAACTCATTTTCTCCATAAATCTGTTTCTTTTCTAATAGTGCTTATCTTGAATAATGGTATTACTAGCCACTCTGTTTTTCAAGACACAAACCTATCTTTTCTTTTTTACCTCCTTCTTCTCTTAGAAGCCTTG